AGAAGGATGTGGTACAGCTCCATGCTCCTCGATACCAGTCTATGAGAAGGGATGTAATTGGCTGTACTCAGGAGATGGATTTCATTCTTTGGCCTCGGAATGATATTGAGAAAATCGTCTGTCTCTTGTTTTCGAGATGGAAGGAATCTGATGAGCCTTTTAGGCCTGTTCAGGTATTTTATTTTAAAATTGTGTGATGAGCACTTAGTGAAAACTCCTGTAATAGGGTCAAATTTGAGAAATTCTTTGCGAATATAGTTCCTAATATTTTATGAGTTCACCCTATTCCTTTGAATGTTGTGGTGTAAGAGAAAAAAAGCATTTGGATTATGTAATATCTTGAAATGGAGGCTATTCTGTCTTTGAAATTAGAGCCAGAGAAAATCTCCTAAAGTGGGACATTTGATATATAGAGAACTATAGCTTGAGAACATGTGGTTTTCTGGAATTCAGTTCACGTAATAGGCTAAACAGAGGTAAAATTATATATTTGTCTATCGGATATTACTGACTTTATAGTGTGCTAGAGAATGTAAGTTGAATAAAAAGGAATGAAAATCAGAAAAGCCACATGTGTAGTTCTCAGAAGATCTTACATACAAGTTTTCTCTGGTAATTGGAGGCATTTTAGAGGGTTTCCCCCTTCCTTGTGCTACTGGACATTGAAGCTGGGACCTTGTATATGCTAAACATAAATGCTACCACTTAGCTATATTTGGAGTCTGGTTTTGGTTTTGTATTCAGGATTTCCTATCAGAAGAATGTTAGGTCTCCAAAGTATTTTGCAGTTGAACAGTAACCAAAATAAAAATGTGGACTAACCATGAAGCTCACTCTTTTAATTTATTACCTTGTACTATGAAAAGTTCCTCATGCTACTGTAAAATCTTATATTTGGCTCACTTTGAACCCAGGAGTTCAAGGCTAACCTAGGCACCACAGTGAGACCCTGTCTCAAAAATCACCCCCCCCCAACTTTCTAAGTTTCAGAGTTCAGTTGCAGTAAATAATAATGCAAAACTAATTTAATTTAAAATAATGTAAAGTCAAGTCCTATGGGGATTGTCTCCCGTCACCCCTGCAGATGTGCAAATTCTTGTATATTAAATGGTGTGTTGTGTATAACCTCTTACATCTGTAAATCATCTCTAGGATGCGTGTAAGAACCTAAAATACTATAAATATTATGTAAAGAGTTACACTCTTAACGTTTAGGGAAAGACCAAGTAGTAAGTATACATGTTCAGTATAAATGTGATTTTTCTTTTCCCAAATATTTTTAGTTAAGATTGGTTGAACTTGAAGATGTAAAACTATGGCTACAAAAGGTTGACTATATATGAATATATATCCTGCAGTGTAGCTGTTTGTGGACAACTTTTTTGTTTTGCTTGTTTTTATTTTACTTTTGACTTTTGAGGTTCTTTTGGCAGTACTGCAGATGGATGGAATCCAGGCCAACCTATGTGCTGGCTAGTGCACAGCTGTGAGCTATACTCTTAGCCCCTAAGAACTTAATTTTACATAACATTTAATATTTTTTTTAGTAACATTTAATTTTAATTAAAATTTTTTGCTCTTGGCTACATATTGAACAGTATAGATACTTAGACATTTCAGGTGGTGTAATATTTGTAGTTACAGAGAAGTGTTTATATCTTTTAATTAGGCCAAATTTGAGTTTCATCACGGTGACTATGAAAAACAGTTTCTGCATGTACTGAGCCGCTAGGACAAGACTGGAATTGTTGTTAACAACCCTAGCCAGTCAGTGTTTCTCTTCATTGACAGACAGCACTTGCAGGTAAGTTCTTTGAAAACTATTCCAGGACTCATTCAAAAACTTACTAGTTAGTAAGCTGTTTTCCATATAAGATGAGCCTTTTGTCTTTTCCCTCATTGCTGCATTATTTTTGAAATTATTTTAAAAATATATATATCCTAGTTCTCACTCCAGAAGTTCCCAAACTTTGCTGTTTTAGAACTTTCTAAGAACTAATTTTGAAAGAAATGATTCAACAGAAAAGTACTTCTCTTAAGTAGCAATATAGGTGTTCTAATTTAGCTTTTATTCTGTGAAACATTGCTTATTCTCTCAATTTACATTATCCCCTAGGATGTATAATAGTTTTTATTATAAGTTCTTACCTTTAAAAAAAAACCCTAATTTATTATTCATTCAACAAATGGTTGCCTACACTACACAGTGCAAGATAATGAGATAGAGAACAATTTTTTTTTTTTTTTAATGTATTTAGTATACAGGGTCTCACTACACAGATAGGAACTCAAAGTGATCCTCCTGTTTTCAGCCTCTCAAGCACTGAGATTACAGGTGCATGCCACCATGCCCAGTCTTAATCACCCTCTCAGCCCACCCCAGGGGCGGGGCCAGCACTGCATGCCAGGGATCAAACTCCAGTCCCTGTACCTGCCTTAAGCAGATATTTTAATCTGCTGAGCTATCTGGCCATCCTGAGAACAATTCTTGTCTTCATAGATTCACACTCTAGTATGGGAAACCAGTATTAAACAAGTAAAGTATATGGTTACATAGTGGCAAGTGCTGAGAGACTGTAAACTGTGGACAGTTTTAATTCTGACATGGTGTCACTAGAGGAGGTCTTGGTGAGAGGCAAAGACTTGAAAAAAAATACTTAATGGTATTCACTAAATTATGGACCATCTGTCTATTTAATAGAGAATACACACAGAAAATGGAAAGGCATGCTGACACTGGGAAATATGTCTACTTTTCTGTCTTGCAGAAAGTTTTATAAGAGTTGCTTCTGGGGGTAGGCATTTGATTAAACCAAGTAACTTATCACTTAGTGATAATTAAAGTAATTTTTTTGTCTTTTTCTGGTTTCTTTAGCTTTCTTGTAGATACTTTAAAGATGATTGTTTATAGTCCTTAACTGCCTCAAAGTGGAATCCACAACACACATTTTTAATAATAGGACTAATGGTGTAGAGAAACTAGCCAGTACTGGGGTAGGGTGGGGGGAAATAGGGAATAGACCCCAGAGCCTTGAACTGAAGTACATCCCCAGCTCTTTTTTTTTTTTTTTTGCGGAACCGTGGATTGAACTCAAGCCCTTGTGCTTGCAGGGGAAGCACTTATTCCACTGAGCCATCTCCCCGGCTCCTCCAGGTCTTTTTTATTCTTCCTCTTCTCCTTCTCCCCCTCCCCATCCCCTTCCCCTCCTCCCCTTTTTCCTTCTTCCTTTTTTTTCTTCTTTCTCCCCCCCCCCCCCAGCAGGGCTTGAATTTGTGGTCCTCCTGCCTCATCTTCCAAGAGGCTTGGAGTTACATACTAGGAAATAGCACAAAGCACACTTTACAAGTGACCTCAAGGAATGGTTTGTTAGGATTAGTAAATCATCTGTTCCATATCAAAGTAAGATTTTTTTTTTTTAATAGGGTAAGCAAATGACTCTTGAAAACTTTTAAGTTCTAGAGCCAAATCTGGGTTGTAGGTAAGGTAACATAATTAATTGTCTTTAGTTTGACTGGTGTAGCCTGCGTTTGGCAACATTCCAAGTACGGTTTTCCACACTCATGTCCCTGGCAAACTGAAGTTAATTATAGATAAGCTTGTTTGGTTCCAGTTTTGTCCTTGACTTCATAAGCTGCTGATGTGTTGCCAGTTTGCTTTCTTTAGAAGATTCAACTTGGAATTTTTAGGGAAATCAAAATGATAGTGGTGATAGTGGTCAACACGTAGTGTACATTATGTATCTAGCTCCATATCCAAAGCTTTATGTATATGAATGAATTCATTTAGGCCTCACATTAATCTCATTTTATAGCTAAAGAAATAAATTCATATGATCAAGCAAAAATCCTCTAGCAGTGATTTTGTGCTTTGTTCTAAGATGATAGGTGATGAGCTAGATTAAAGGGTAGTTTTAGATGGACAGGTGATACTGAGGCATAGGCCTGGAGTTTGTTCTGGTACAGATACAGCTGCTTGCTGGCTCCATGACCCTGGCAAGCACAGGGTCCTGAGTTCAATCCCCAGTACCGCAAAAAAAAATGTATTTTTGAGACAGGGTCTCACTATGCATTTCAGACTGACCTTGAATTCGCTTTGTACCCCAGGCTGGTCTTGAACCTCAATGACTCGCCTGCGTCAGCCTTCCAAATGCTGGGATTATAGGCATGCACCATCACGCCCAGCTTGGACAAGTAACTTTTTTGAGCGTGTTCTAGTTAGGTCTTGGTTCAGGTTCCATCTCATTTATTGGCAGTAGTGTGAGAAAGCACTTGAGCTACGATATCTATAAATCAGATGCTTAGATGGAACTGCTTTTTAAAAATACTTAGGTGGGACCAGTGGTGTATGTCTATAATCCTAACACTTGGAAGGCTGAAGCAGGAGGGTTGCCTCAAATTTGAGGCCAGCCTGGGTTCCATAGTGAGTGCAAGGACAGCTTGAACTATATAGGGAGACCCTGACTCAGAAAACTAAAACAAAACAACCTCAAAGTCGTAAGTTGGTAATATTTGGGTTTTTAGTCCCATGACCACAGGATGCGCTTAAATCATCACCTGTGTCTAATGTCCTTCCTAGCTTCTACTGTTACTACATGTCCTGTCTTCCTGATTGTAAACATGACTTAAATCTTTACTTAATATGCCTTTATCCCTGACTTGTGTAGCAGGTAATCTGTAGTTGACTTCCCTAACTATATATCTCATGTGTGTTTACAACAGTTTTTACTGTATTTTTTTCTGTATCTTATATAATGAGGTTGTCTTCCTCATTAGATTGTGGGTAAGGATTGTAACAGATGCCATATTTTGTTTGCTTTACTACTGTACTTAGGTTCTTAACAAATTATGAGAGATTAAATCAATATATTAAACTGTTTGAAATTTCCCCCCTCCCAGACTCCAAAAAACAAAGCCACAATCTTCAAGTTGTGCAGCATCTGCCTCTACCTGCCACAGGAGCAGCTCACCCACTGGGCAGTGGGCACCATAGAGGACCACCTTCGCCCTTACATGCCAGAGTAGTTACTGACCAGCGCGTGGAGAAGATCAGAGAATGAATGCAGCAGCAATGTTTTTTTCTTGTTTTCTTACCACTTTGTTTTTTCAGAGTTTAAAGAAAATGGACTCATGCACAGAACACTATGCATTTTGAAACTTGTTCATCCTGGATTTTGTTTTAATCATTTGTATCTCAGAACTTAAAAAAATTAAATGTCTTCTGCACGGACTGTGTGAAAGAAGATGCTTTGCATATTTGCTGCACTGCATCAGCATCTTACTAAAAATGTGAAATGAAAGGACTGTTGTACACTGAAATGCTTAAATGTATCTGAAAGCACAAGGTGATACTCATTGATGGTCTTCCCATTTGTGCTGGT